CTGTCTCTCTGATCTACCAGCATTGACCCCAATAACTGGCCTCGGGTTTGATTTTATTAATAAGAACTTTTAAGATTCATGCTACACTACATGGTGAGACCCTGTCTCAAAAATCCAAACTAAGAGGAAAGAAATTGAAGATGACTAGAAGATGGAAATGCCTTCCGTGCTCATGAATGGAGGAGTCAATGTTGTAAGAATAGCTGCCGTGCAGTCTACAGATTACAGATTTAACACAATCTCTGTCAAGATACCAATGCCATTCTTCACAGAAATGGAGTGGAGCAGAGTCTAAAAATTCATTGAATATCAGACCTCTGGTAGCCAAAGAAATCCTGAAAAAGGAATGCTGATAGTATCGCCGTAGCAGATTTCAAGTTATACTGCACAGCCATACTGATAAAAACAGTATGGCACTGGCACAAAGACAGGTAGATAAACAGAGTGGAATAGATTGAGATACAAATCCATTCTGCCACAACCACCTGATTGATTATTGCCAAAGATGCCAAAAATACTAGCGAAAAGACACACTCTGAGAAAACTGGTTATCTACAAGTAGAAGGATGAACCCAGATCCTTCCTTCACCCTGTACAGAAATCGACTACTGGAACAAAGACCTTAATATAAGACCAGAAGCTGCATCTGCTGGAGGCAAAGGTAGAGAGCCTACATTATGGTGCAGCCATGGGTAGGGACTTCCTGAACAGAACACCAAACCCTCAGCAAATAAGGCCAACTGCTGACAAAAAGGACCTCATGAAATTAAAGAGCTTTTTGGACAGCAAAGGAAATAATTTTAGGCACAGCCTACAGAAATATTTGTCAGCTCTGTGGATGCCAGGATTTTCTTTCTCAGTACTGAGGCTTGAACCCAGGACTTTATGCATGTGAGGCAGATACTCTACCACTGAGCCACATCCCCAACCTGTGGTGGTATTCTAATTGTACTGAAATGTGATTTTGATTGTATGTTAATAAATAAAGTTGTCTGGGGGTCAGAGCTATTAGAGCTAGCTGGGCTCCACTTGGCCTGTTCAACTGTTAGGAATTGGGACGTTATCTCAGGTGAAACAGAGTGCAAGATGGATGCCAAAATTCTGGTGCAATTATGGTAACGTCCGCACCTGTGTCTACCAGACCAGACAACAAAACACCATTTATTTTTATCGTTAATTTTGGTCTTTGTTCATTAATAGAAGTTTGCCAAAAAAATTTCTTTATGTTTTCTCCTGAATTTTCTATTCTCTCTGTTTCATCATCCTGACCAGCAAGATTTATTCCAATAGACATTTGGTTATTTAATCACTCTGAGCAGGGATTTCCTCTATGGCTGCAGGAAAGGTCTGAACTGGATTTGCTATGGGGGCCTGCATGAGGCCCCTCTGGGAGTTTCCCGAAGACTGAGGCAAAGGATTACCCTGTCTGTCCTTTGTTGATCTACATTCGTTGGTCCAGTGTTTTCCCTTACCACACCTTCTGCATACTCCAGAAGGAAGGGGCATTCTGTTGCCATTGTTCCTTGAAGAAACATTGTTTCTAGGAATGACCTGTTGACACCAACCTCTCTGACAGGGTTAACATATACAATATACAAAGATCTCAAAAGGCTATACAATAGTCAAAAAAAAAAAATGGGCTGAGGAGACCATGGAGTTCTCAGAAGAAATACAAGTGACTTTCTTAAGTGTTTAGCATTCTTAGTTTTCAGGGAAATGCAAATTAAAACTGCCCTGAGATTGCGCCACACCTCCCCCACCAAAAGGAAGGACAAATGCTGGCAAAGGTGAGTGGAAAGAGGAGCCCTTATTCGGTGCTCACAGAGACAATGAACTGGTGCAGCCATTCCTCAGAGCTAAAAGAGAACTACCATTTAGTCCCGCTCTGCTCCCAGATGTGCACGCACCCCAAGGACCATGGTTGTACTTCTGAGACACTTGCTTCTCCATGGCGGCTGCTTGGTTCACTGGAGCAAGGCAGTGGAGTCAGCTGAGATGTCCAGAGACACATGGCTGGGTAATTAAAATGGGGCACATATACACAACGGAATCTTATTCAGCTGTAAAGAAAAAAGAAATTCTGTACTTTGCAGGAAAACAGAGGAACTTTTTACTAAGTGAGGTGACCCCGGTTTGGAAGTACAAACATGTCCTCCCACATGCAGATCTTTGCTTCTGATTTTTATATATGTGTATTTATGTGACAGTGAGTATGGGTAAAGACCAAGAAATTAGGAAGGGGCCCATGAGAGAAAGGGGTAAAGAAGCCTTAAGGGAGAGGAACAGAGAAGGGCAATACTAGGAGTGGAGGGGTTTACACTGGGATGTAGGCAGGGAAATGGGAGAGAGGAAGGTTGTGGGACTGTCAACCTGATACTTTGTATGCTAAAATAAAAAGTTTTAATGTTACCACCATTTGTCTAGAGGAGAGATTATAGCAACCTACTCTTAAAAATTCAATTATTTTCTCATCTCTGCTCATTTTAGTGTCACCCAATATTGCTTTCACTATTCTAGGGTGCAACATACTTCCACATTAATGCACATGGGTTTTATTGCTATTGAGGAGACACCATGATCACGGCAACTCTTATAAAGAAAAACATTTAATTGGGGCTGGCTTCCAGCTCAGAGTTTTAGTCCATTATTGTCGTGTCAGGAAGAATGGTACAGTGCAAGCCAACATGGTGCTGGAGAGGCAGCTGAGAGTTCTACATCTGGATCAGCGGACAGCAAGGAATGGGACTGACTTGACCTCTGAAACCGCTAAGCCCACCCTCCTCCAACAAGGCCACACCAATAATGCCACTCTCTATGAGTTTATAGGGCCATTTTCATTCAAACCACCACACTGAAGAAAATAATAGTAAATGCTATAATTGTAGCTACTAATATAGTTAGTCTGAACCAACCACTGTTCTGGGCATTTATCATACATAATTGTTTTAACACTTAAGGTCACCCTGTGTCATAGGCAAGGAGGTATCAAAGGAATCGTCTGTAAGAATGTCTTGAGCTGTTGACCCCAACCCTACCCAGATAAGTGGCAGTAATCTTTTATGGATAAGACTCACAGAGAAAAGGCAACTATAATGTCGCTCTCTTTCCATTCCTATCAGGAGAGGCTGTTTGGTGGGGTAAGTGTATGAACTTTAGCACCAGAAACCTGGGTTCAAGGCCTGTCAAAGTGTGTCCCTCTTAGCTTCAGTCTTATTCCAGCCTAATTCCATTCTCTGCCCAACCAAGCCTTTGCTCTCCTTCAGCTATGTCCTATTTCACTAGTCCATGCCATTGTAAATCTCTTAAGCCCTGTGACGATTAATACTGCCAAGTTGACAAGATCTACAATCACCAGACATCGGAACAAGCCTCTAGACATGTCTGTGAAGGAGCTTCTAGATTAGGTTAATTAGGGCTGCACCGTCCTGTGGTCTGGGGTCCCGGACTACATACAAAGGAGAATGCTGTGCACCAGCGTTCATCACGTCCTGGCTGCAGAGGCAACGCCAACGGCTGCCTCAAGCTCCCAAGACTGGGGCAAATAAACCCCTTTCCTTAAGTGTTTTTGTTATTTGCCTCAGCAACAAGAAAAGTAACTAATATAGACCCTAGTAATCCCACAATCCAACCCTAAAACAGTACATTAAAAAAAAAATCCCACTGGGCAGCAGTGGCACACGCCTTTAATCCCAGCACTCCGGAGGCAGAGCCAGGCGGATCTCTGTGAGTTTGCCCGGGCTACACAGCAAGTTCCAGGATAGGCACCAAAACTACATGGAAAATCCCTCTCTAAATAAATAAATAAATAAATAAATAAATAAATAAATCTGACAGAGAAATGTCTTCACCTCAAGATTCTGGAATGTTCCTGACATTCAAGTATTCACTGTATTCCCCAAAATTCTCTTGAATCTTGTGTCCCTCTTAATGGCAAAAGTGGGCACTACACACAGACTGGGTATGTCCTAGCTATTGTATTACACACCTCCAAAGTTGGGACTCAAATGCCATGGTCTTACCACTCAAGTGTGCTCTCTTTTCATCAATGTATTTCATGCAAAAAAAAAAAATCAAAGATGCAAATGTATGGTCATATCCCAAATGAAGCTTCCAGTCTAACTGGAGAGGTCCTACTACCACTAAAGAGAAAATTTCAACTCTGAAGAATTCAACTCTGAAAAAACCCACAGATGAATGCATCTGTCAGAAAACATGACCATGGCAAGCGGGATTGGAGGTCCTGGGAACTATAAAAGGTCAATTCCATGGCTCTTCTCCATGGATTTCCAATAAATGTTTATGGAATGCATAATCATCACTGAGAAAGCATTCAGTATTAAACAGCGGGGATCTCACAAATGAGGTGAGAAAGGAAGGTAACTACACTAATATACCAAAAGCTCCAGCCAGTATGAGAACATTTCTGGCAACAATGGGGACTCTTTCACAGGGTCACCTAAGACCGTCAGAAAACACAGATACTTACATTGCGATTCATAACAGTAGCAAAATTAGTTATGAAGTAGCAATGAAAAGAAGTGCTATTGGGGGTCACTACATTAAGGTTGAGACCTACTGTCCTGGAGTAAACAAATTACATTTTTTTAGATATATATAGCCACTCTAATCTGTCTCCCCCTAACCAGCTTCACTGTTAGGTCATCCATTCAATTCCATGTTTTCTTGTTATTAACTCCTTGATTTTTCCCATGTCATTTTACATTTCATGGAATTCCTTACTCACTTGAAACTTACAGCCCCTCTTCCATCAGGCATATCTTCCTTACCTACTGCTCAAACCCTGAGCTCTACAAAGCCTTCCTATTCATTTCCAGGTCCTTCATTGCAGCCTCTAACCCTTTGTCCATTGTCTTCCGGGTACTCGGCATGTTTTGGTGTGATGTACCCGTTTTCCGTAACTGCGTGGCTCACTACGACAGAGTCTACAGGTCTATCTTTCTTTATATGACACTAGCAATCAACACACAACAGAAAATTTGTTTACTGTTTGTTAAATGGGTGAATTTTATTGCATATTTCCTTATTCACGCACCACTCAGCAACATAATAAATGACAAACCAATTCAGGAAGAACTTAATTTTGCAGAAATCCTTGCCATTTAGCCTTTCCTGGTCCTTACCTTGCCAACACCTATAGTTCAAAAATACTGTGGAAAACTCCTTTAAGGGGTTTAGCTAATGAAACCTAAGTAACACAATTTAGTAATTAGCATTAAGAGGAAAAGCTCAAACAGTTGGGAAATGTATGCAAAAAGCAAACTATTGACTGTTGCTCAAACAAGTTGTGCAAGGAGTGGACAGGAGCTGATGGAGCTCCCCTTGCTGTTAAAGGGGACCCTTCTGCTTTGGCTGTAAAGGCACAAGTGGCGAGGTGACTGACACTGTTTGGAAGGTCAAGACATTGTATCTAATTTCCTCTAGGAACATTTCTTTCTACTTGGGCTGATTTGGATCACTGAGGTTGTGTTGAGACCCAATCTTTAGCAGGCAACTTGACATGACATAACAAAAACTTAATAAAATCACATGGAGGATCCCCCACCCCAGATCATTCTCTTAGATCTTACACAAAGTAGCTTTGTGATCTTGGGCACTTTTTATGTTTTTATTTCAATATATTTGTTTGGTTAATATTGCACAGATGTATTTTTGTCACAAATTAATTTCTTTGAAGATAGCAATGTAGATACAAAACTTTTACTATTATTTATAACACTCAAGAAGGGTTGTGTGTGTGTACGTGTGTGTGTGTGTGTGTGTGTGTGTGTGTGTGTGAGAGAGAGAGAGAGAGAGAGAGAGAGAGAGAGAGAGAGAGAGAGAGAGAGAGAGAGAAAGGGTGTCAAACTGATGAACCCAAATAGAACCATTTGCTGGAAACATAGGTGTTAGTAACAGTTATAAAACAGAGTTGGATGCTTATAATCCCAACACTTGGGAGATGGCAGTGGGAGGATTGCAAGTTCAAAGCCAGCCTGGGCTACCAGTAAAACCCTATTTCAGAAAACAAAACCAACAAAACTCCATACACAAACAGGATGAATGTGTTTGATGACTGGGTCAGAGAGGAAGCACCCTGGCCTTGTTAGACCTCCAACTACTTGAGAACGTCATCAGATCTCTGTAACCACCTGAGAACCACAGCCACATTCTAGTCTGTGGTGAGAAAGCATTGTGTGTACACTGAGGACCTTACCTCAGGCTTTCCCTCCTCTATCTAGAGTCTGTGTACTCTCAGTGAAGGGCTTCTGGGGCTCTTTTGAGAAATGCCTTTGTCACTAGCTAGTCAAAGGATGGTTTGGCTTCTGGGCTTTTACTGGAATATTGTGTGCTAGATATTTGTAGTTTTATTTCAAGCCGCCTTGTGAACATTGGGTGTTATGAGCATCCCATTCTCACGCTGCAGAAAACATAGAGCACGAAAGGCAGACAGACAGAAGGACATTTGTGGCCATGCAGGAGTTTCAGGGTAACCCCAGGCCCTGTTCTAGAAGTATGGCCAGTTCTAGGCAGCTTCAGCATGCTCACTTTTTAGGCATGTTAGGTCCCTGGCTTCTGTGTGTGAGGTAGGATAGTTACTCCAACAGAAGACACAAAATTGAGATGGGAAAAGAGCAGGTCACAAAGGTATGGGAAATGGCCTGTGGCTTTTCTTATATGATGTTCAAAAACAGCCTAAGTGTTCCCAGCACCCTACTGTGTGTGCATGGCTTCCCAGGAGCATCATTTAAAGGGTGATGATTAATTGATTCTAAAAGCTATGAGAGATTTGTCTTAAAAAAAAGTACTAATGTTTATTTTTAATTATATAAAACATGTTAAACAATGATCATAACCTATGATATAAACCAATGTGTAGAGGGTGGGGCAGAATAGTGGTGCTCTTCATTTTATACTTGAGAACAGTGTGTTCTGCCATGGCCACAATTAAGAGCAGGCTGTGGACACCTGATGAGGCACCAGAAGACAAAGAAGCAAATGACCAGTTGTTCACAGCTGGCCTTGTAGGCTTCGGGAGAGGTGGCAGAGCATAACCAAGAGAGACTGAGCATCAACACACACCCAGTACCATCCCAGCTTCCTCCTTTGGAATTGAATGACTCTACACATTACTCAATTCCTCTGAGGCCCAGTTACCCTCTCCATAAATGCCTGGTAAAGTGCCTGGCTAACTGCTTGGGAAACACCAGTTCTTCTGTAGGGAAGGATGTTTTCTGAAAATTGCAGGTAGCAATTGGTTTAGTAGATTGAAATTAGTATGTTGAAAAACAAAACATCAAAATGTATTGCACATAGTGGTAAACATTTTTATGTATATATGCTCAATTTTAATACATTTTTTTTACTGTGTGTTACACCAAAATTTCAGAGAAATTCTCTGATTATAACATCAAAAAGTCTTTAGAAGTGCTGCCATTACTGAAATGAGTCTTAACAATTTTTATGAGCTTAATTAAAGTGGTCCTTTTTAACTAGTTGAAATAAAAATAAGACATAAATCATAGAGAAGATAAATTTAACTTGACACTATGGGGCATATTAAGTCCAATTTTAAGATCACTTCTGTGTCATATTGACTAATTTATACTTTTAAGTACTTTATATCATTTATAGTTGATTAAACACTTCTAAGCAATTTCCACAAAAAGTTAGCTATTAGGTTCAATTGTAGGGAAATGAAGTGAAATTTCTAAGTAACTTTAAAGTATAAAAATTTAAGAAGACTGGAACTTCCTTAAGCATTTAGACGGCTAGAGTCAAAAGCCCAGTACTGACAGTTCATGATCATGTCAACAGTTTCCACATTGGCTCAGTAAAAATGCAAAATCCCGAAGACGTGGGTTTCAAATGCAAGCCTCATCCTGGTTCTTCTAGGTCCTTTGTGCTGTGACTGTTATGGCCCACTGACTGAGTGGCCCTCTGGGGACTGGCGGGATGAGTACTAAGGCATGAGGAAGATGAGGTGAGCATGGGAGATTAAACAATGAAACAACATTACTATTCTTATAATTCCAGCTAAGCAGGCTGGACTGGCTGTATCAGAATTACCCATGATGGAGGCTCCAGAATCTTGTTTTAGTCAGGCGGTGGCAGCGTGTGCCTTTAATCCCAGCCCTCCAAGGCATAAGCAGGTGCATCTCTGAGTTCAAGGCCAACCTGATCTACAGAGTTCCAAGACAGCCAGGGCTACCGAGGAGAAACCATCTTGAAAAACAAAATTTAAAAAGCATCTTCTTTTAAATAAAATCTGGATGAGTTCTGCCTCCTGCTCAGGTTTGACATGCCCACCTTAAAGGAGCAGCAAGAAACAGAGAACAAAGGATGAAGTTAAAAACATTACTCCAAATACTTAGTTCCCAGTGTCAGTGCCTCAGAATCTGACACTCACTCAAGTACTTCCTTTTTGGGGGAGGGGAATAGTAAAGTCTTTAGTCAGCAATAACAAATACTTGATACCTCCTAACATGTATGATGTAGTGTTTCGTTTCATAGGAATGAATGCATCAGTAAGAAGACTCAAAAGCATCAAAGGGAAGGATCTTGCAACACAGAAGGAAAAGTAGCAATCAATAGAGGTCAAACATCAACAACACAGCTTTGTTTTGTTTTGTTTTGTTTTGTTTTTTGAGATGGTTTCTCTGTAGCTTTGAAGCCTGTCCTGGAATTCACTCTGTAGACCAGGCTGGCCTTGAACTCACAGAGATCTGCCTGCCCCTGCCTCCCCAGTGCTGGAATTAAAGGAGTGCACCACCACTGCCTGGCTCAACACAGCTCTTAAAAGGATAAACCCTTTGGTCCTTGAACCCATGCTCCTGGCTGACTGTGCTTTCTCCTCAGGGGAGATTAAAGAATGAGGCGGCCAGTGGCTCCTTCCTGTCAGGATGAGTTAGGATGCAGGGGGAGGGTGCCTGCAGTCTTATTCCTTTTCTCTAAATTTCAAACTCTATGTTTGAGACAGACATGGAGCTGGACTGGCCCGTGGCCGCTGTCCATGTTATCTGTTGGGTTAGCACCACAGATCTTTCACGGGGTCTGACTCTTGGCTGTTTAGAACACGAGAGAAGTTAGGTGTGAGCACTGGGAGAGCGGCAGAGAAAACTGAAGGACAGGAGATAGCCCGAAAGAGGGCAGCGGTAACAGAAGTGAGGTAGAAAGCTCCTTCTCAACCCCGCAACAAGACTGAGGGGCCAGACCCTTGAGGCAGGTGTGTCAGCCCCTTGAAGTTCTAAAGTGCCCCATGGTGTGACCTTGTGCTCCCCTTTGCCCCAAAAATGTTGGAAATGTTTAAATTTTTGTTTTTCAATTTAAGAGATTACAAGTAGGGGTAACTAGAGATGGGAAATGATATAAAAAGGCAGATTATGAGAAAAATCCTCACAAGATGGGTAGAATTCACCCCAGAAGCAGAGAACCTTCAGAATCACCAGCTGCAAGTGGGTTTGTGGCTGGGTCAGCAGATCCAGCACACAAGCTTCTGTGCTCCTTAGCTGGAAAGGCGGGGAAGATTTCAGAAAAGATGTCACCCATGTCACAATGAAGAGACTGTCAAGAGAAAGTGGGCGTCTCTGTCCATTTTATAGTGTTAGTTTCCTTCACCAGAAAATACAGATGGATCCAAGCACAGAAGGAGTTCACCCGGGGCCCCTTGGTAGCAGCAACATCCCTACCTGACAGAAAGACTCCAGAACTCACATTCCGTTCCTTCCCTGTAGGAGAAATAATCTATACATACACTGACCCTCGTGAGCCCGACACATTTCACACTTTTTAGATCCTTAGAGTTAGAGGTTCAGTTTTCACATTTCCAGGCAGAACGTTTTCTCTTTGGCAGTCTTTAAACTGACCCGATAGACATCACATGCCCTCAAGCCCAGGCTCCTCTAACATCTCCATTAACAGCCAGCAAACAAATACATCCGGTTATGGTGGTTCAATACCACATGGACATGAAGAGCCACTCCCCAACACTGTGTTCCAACAGCTGAGCATTCAACAGCAGCAAGGTGCTCCTTAGGATGGATGCATTGGCACCAGCTGGAAGTTTGGGCTTTAACTGCATTTTTTGTCACTTTGGCTAGGGAGATCTGGACAGCTGGAAGTGAGCTTCTCCATCATTTTCTGTTTCCTTCTTTGTATCAATTTTCCACCTGTGAAGCCCAATACCCCACCACCAAGTGCAGCTGCAATTCCTGCCACTTTGAAGCCTGCGAGGAGGCCGATGGGACCCCCCACCACTCCTCCGATGAGTGCACCTGCCACAGGCAGGGCTGCCAGCTTGTACTTTGCAGCCTGTAAAAGAAAAAAAATTCAATTTAGAAATTGAGTTGAGAAAATCTGCCTGTGGTGATGTGCGTTTTCCTCTCATTACTCCTGGCAATGCCTCTTTAACTCTGGGTTCATAATTAACCTCAGAGATTATTCTTGGGAACGTGTGTGTGAAAGTATTCCACAGGTACTGCCATTGCTCCAGACCACAGAACAAAGGGAGGTTGCTCCAGAATGGACAGCTACAAATTGATTTTACTTGCAAAACAATCAATCCACTATCTGGCTGGCTTATTTAAACAGTTTCTGCAGCCACGGGCTCCCACCAAAGCTTTGATTCAGCACAGGGGTTATTCCACACTAGGCAGCCGGGCTGAAAATCACATCATACAAATAATAGATGGTCACACTCCTTGAGTGCTACTGCAGTCTCACTTTTGCTCTGCCTGGATTAATGGACTGCTCTCTCTTCTCCCTAGGCCTCCGCAGATATTCCTTCATAACAACTAAATGCCCTAGAGTGAGAGAGACCACAGTTCATTCTCTTTGGGGGAAAAAAATCTCTCATGACAGAATGAATCTGGGAGTAGAATATTACAGCCATTGATTTCTTACACTACCTATGTGTCATTTCTTCCTTATTTCCTTAATTGCTGGTTCCCTCAGCACTGAAGAGAGTGGATCAATTGGGTTAATACTGGAGATTCCTGGGAGCCAGAGTACCATTGATTTGTCAGCAGGAGCAGAATCTTACCTTCCCCAAGTTTCTGGTTCCCTCTTCAACATTCACAGCAGCACTGTTGACATGGTCTGCAATGCTGTCAATCTTCTCCTGCTGAGACTGGATGCAAAGGAATTATGAGTGAGCGGTCCTGCTGGGGAGCAGTGGGAAGCCAACACACACTATTTTAATTCCTGTAATCAGGCCCCGGGTACTGCAGCCTTGCAGTCTTAATAGTGGTTCATTAATAGCATCTGATAAACCATGTAGAAAGTACAAATTCACTTTCACAAAAAAGGGGGGGACTTAATGATTGGGTAATAAAAGGGTGGTACCTTCATAGCAAAAAGCACCTCACACTAGAATTCATTCAAACATACAAACATATTATTCTCCAAATGAACCTACTTTGTAGGAGGAAAAAAAATTCAAATAAGCATTTACATATCATGTTGGGTTGATAGCAAAAAAAAGGAAAACAAATTCAAACAAAGTCCATAACTTACCTTCTTTGGAGATTTTCTTTAAATCAGATTTACTTTAGCAGTAAAATGCCACTGATCTAACAAATAAAAACTGTTCTTTTGTATGAATGGGACTACAATGCGGAGTAATCCAGCATGAAATCTTTGCACTTTTGATATGCAATGGGGAGTAATGAAAGAATCTGTTGTCTTGAGTTTTACACCTTTTTACCACATACTATATAGTCCAAGTTAAGATAGTTCAGATCAACAATATTAATATAATAGTCTACCCAAAACAGCAACACCTGTTATGACACAGTATCGATCGTGACTCCGGAGATCCCTGATGGATGAATGGTGGAGCTGGAGACTGCCATTTCCTCTCTAATGTGCGAAACCACCTCATTGTCACTCATGAGTGGCTACTGAGCTCTGCTCTGACACCCCAGGCACAAGCACTCTGTCCTTACCCTGGAACCAGGATCTCATTAAGATCAACTTTATTTAGTTTTTGTGGGTATATATGTGTACACATATAGATGTGTGTATCTATATTATATATAGTTAGTTATTAGATAGATAGTTGTATACCACACTATACGACCCTGCTGGTGGAGAAGTAGGATAGGTCCTAACCAATGTAGAAACCCATGTGATCACTATGACCAGCAGGGCACAAACAATTTCTATCACTTCTTTGCAGAAAAACAGAGAAGAACCTCTCTTTCATTCCACATAATGCCCCTTATACATTGATTCAACTGTCTTTTATGCTAAACCTATTGAGACTGAGGCACATGTAACCAAAGCTTCCTATTCCAATCAGCATTTCATGTGAGAACATAAGCGCAACCCAGCTCACAAGCCCCCAGCTGTTTCCTATTAGCATTATTGATAGTCTTTCCTTGCCAGGCCTTTTGTGGTGGCCTTTCATTCCAGGATTCTCCACCACCATCTTGACATCCCTAACAATTCCTAAAATAGTCTCTTTTCAATTTTTTTTTGAATCTGTCACACAAGTGTAGCCAAGGCTCTTAAACTTGAGTACAAACTGGATCACCTACAAAGTCTCTGGAATCAAACTGCTGAGTCCTAGCGGTGATATATTTGTAATCTAAGAAATAAAGCTTGCCTGAAGGTCAGAGGGCAGAGCCAGCCACAGAGTTAGCCACAGAGAGCAGACAGTGGTGCCACACACCTTTAATTCCAGCACTTGGGGTCATACACCTTTAATCCTAGCACTAGGAAGATTGAGACAGGAAGTGATATGGCTGGGCAAAGAAAGGAATATAAGGCGGGAGGAGACAGGAATTTGCACCCTTGCAGAGGCTCTGTCAGGCTGAGGAGCTGGTGAGGTAAGAGGTGGTAGCTGTGGCTGCTCTGTTTTTCTGATCTTTCAGCTTTCCCCAATGTCTAGCTCTGGGTTTTTATTATAAGACCATTTAGGATTCGTGCAAAACCGGCTCTGCCACAGGCTGACAGTCCTGAAATACAGTCTGATACCCATTAGTGGGTATCAGATCTCTTGGAGCTGGAGTTATAGGAGGTTGTGAGCCACCTGCTTTGGGTGCTGGGAACCGAACTCAGGTCCTCTGCAAGAGCAGTGCATGCTCTTAGGTGCTGAGCCATCTTTGTGCCTCTCATTTCACACACTTTGAAGGTCACTATTGTCCATGATAAGACTGGCACAAAACCTAGGAGAGGATATTCGGTGTTCAAATCCCAGTACTGCCCTGGTGTGTTCTTGGGCCAAGTACTCTCATCTGCTATATGAGGATAATGGTATTTCTACTTCATTGTGTTAAAAGGATACAATGAGATGTCTGTAAAGCACAATGGGAAAACAGAAACACCCATCCTGCTTCTATCTACTTACTTTCCCTCTTTGCTTCTGATTCTGTCTTATCTACCCAGATTTCCCACACTGGACAGTCTTCAACCCCCATACCCAGGCTTGCATTTTACTCTTTGGCACTTAGAAATGTTCTCAGCATCCCTTTAATAATGAACTAAGCCATTTGTAAGGCACACTTTAAGGACTATTCAATTAGGTTGCCCTATTGGCCTGAAAATAGTTAAATCTGTATAAACAGTAACAGGGGCACCTAAGATTCAGGAGAAAATATGAATTATTAAGTTAATACTTATTGAGAAGAATGCAACTTGGGTAGATGAATTAAAAACTAAGGAGGAATTATTTTTCCCCTTAAATGCTTGCTGTGGACACTTGTCAGCCCAACATGAAATAATAGTTCATGTTATCATATCAAAAATAATAGTTCATGCAAAAAATTCACCCTCAAATCAATTTACAACAACAACAAAGCTCTTCCTTGGAGAGGTTATTGTATAGTCTTATTAGTGTGCTTGGAGAGCTGTGAGTTTACGACAAAGCCAAACTGCGGCTAGTTCCCTATCTTCCTCCCTAAGGAAGATCATATGCAATCACACCAACAGAAAAGCCCACAAAGAACTAGAGATGTGCCACACAGGCAGAGAATGGTTATCTTGGCCTAGCAAAGGCAATAAGGAGGGTGGAGAAGCAGGAACACTGCAGTGGGAGGGACTGAAGGCCACTGATGGCAAAGGTAAGAGGTAATGTAAAGATGGCTGCAGAACAGCTGAAGCAGAGGGGGCAGAGGATGAAGGATGCTGTCTGAAGCAGAGGGGGCAGAGGATGAAGGATGCTGTCCGAAGCAGAGGGGGCAGAGGATGAAGGATGCTGTCTGAAGCAGAGGGGGCAGAGGATGAAGGATGCTGTCTGAAGCAGAGGGGGGCAGAGGATGAAGGATGCTGTCTGAAGTAGTCCTCTCATCAGATTTGCAGAACCTGCTGTCAAATAACATGCTAAAGCTCACAGAGGCCATGCATGGATAAATCTAACTGAATCCATTGCAGCCCTATTCTAATGCATCCAGAACAAAATTGGATTCCAAAAGCCACAGAGAAAAAGATAGAAGATAGAAATCAAAACAGACCCAGCAGTAAGCATAGCGTGTTGTCCAACTTTTGGCCCAGAGTTCTTTAAATTCTACTTGACTAGGAAGAAACGGATCTGGTCACAAGAAAGGGGCACTTGTACAAACAGAGCAGGGGCCTGTACATATTAATACACTTAAGAGTTACTAGGCCATATTGTAATCTCTCATTATCTTTGTGAATCTTGTTTTAAAGCAAACTATGTATACACCTAATATTCTAATGACCTCCAAGTATACACCTTTGGGGCATTTCATTCACAATGTAGAGGCATTATCAGCCTTCTGAGTTTAGCACAGATGTGCATACAGAGACAGTTCCTTGACTGCATGGCTGCCCAGATACAATCACATCCATGTGACAACAGCAGAGGATGTGGTCACTCCTGCATTCCTTGCTTACTCTGTACCTAAATGGAGCTTCTGTGAATCCTTGGCCATGTGTCATAAAAACTCAGTCTTTCTGGGAATAACAGTCAAGGCTCTCTTTGAGCTTCTGCCAAACAGCATTGTGCCTCATGTCCTTGCAGAGACGATTATAACTAGGACATTTGTATGGAGCTGTGAGTGTGGCCAGAACCTTCATGTATAAGTGCTTCTTAGACTGGTGTTGCGACCTGCTTACTCTATAACTGAACACACAACTGCTAGTTCTCCACACACTTTATTTTCTTTCATATGCCTACCCACCAGAAGAGAAACGCATTTGTCTTGAGGAGAGCTAAGAATATCTTTAGTTTGTTTTTTTAAGTCAACTTTAGTGATGTATACTTTACATGTATTAAAACACATTTAAGTGTGCAGATTAATGGCTTTGGCAAGTGCATATATTTATGTAACCATGCATATGAAGACTTTATGAACTGCATTAGAGTGGGAGATTAGTAATTACAATAACTGGATAGATCTTGATTTTAAACAACACATGTGTTTGGAAACTCTTGTATCATTCCCTACCATTGTTAAAATAATAACAGGTCATAAAGACAGCTGGTCTAGAGACTTCTAATATTTTCTTCTTTTGACTTAAAGGCATGAAAAATAATTCAAACAATTTACTGCTTTTAATTTTAGTCATTACCATTCAAGAAAATATCCATAAGCTAGAACATAAGAAGAACAGGCTAATACCAGATGGTCTAGAACTCACTGGTACAGGAGAGCCACAAATGGAGAAAGTTTCTAAGAAGTAAAAATGTGTTTGGGTAGGTCAAAGAAACAAGAACATTTCTCTCAAAACCTTGAACCCCTCTATGTTGAAAGAAGACAAACTCTTCCACAGGTGGCTCTAGAAGACAAATGTGCCCAAGAGAAATTACACGACAGAATTTACACAAGGAAGAGCTTCCACCCTCTCCAACAACTTTCAAAAGAGTGGCTGAGCATCCATAACTGTTAAAAAGACAGAGGGCAGTGGTCTGAGAAGCTTGGGCAAAGTACAGGCTAGATTACCAAGCTCTGGAGTCCTTCCCCATTCCAGCTCTGAGGAGCTATGCTCTAGGAGTTCCCACCTCAAAGCCAGGCCTTAGGGAAGCCACGACCCAGAGAAGCTGGGTTGCCTTCACGGCCTGATCAAGCACAGGGAACTAACCTAGCCACAGCACAAGCAGAAACTGCTTTGCACCCATGCAAACAGGTATCCGCACATGTGTTCACACATCATACATTTTTATAATTCCCAAGGGAAAACAAACAAACAAACAAACAAACAAACAGTTCAGAAAAATCTATCTTTCCTACCAAAACCATAATATGCTCCCTAATCTATGACAAGAGATTCATCCAGGCCTTAAAGTTTCCTGGTTTTGACTTTACCTTCCTCCAGGTTGATCCTCAAAAAGTCTTCTGAGCATTCCTTTACATTAAAGGTAAATGTTACTACTCTACCTACAGGTTAAGTTCTTGCAACTGGTTCCTAGTTAGTCACCCTCCCCATGACCTCCTCTTCATCATTATAACAGTCTTCCTAAAGCAAACTGGACTGCAGGACTTCAGCTTGATCACACATCTGTACTGGCTCCTTCAGGCTCACAGAGCAACCAGCACAAGCTGGTCCTCATCAATCCTTGCTTGCCCCTGGTTCTGCAGGCTCTGGATAATAGGTACACTTAGTACTCTTTGACAGTCCATAGAGCTCACCATGTCTTGTCCTAGTTCACCTATTCTGAAGTGCATCCCTTGAGGCCCTCTCAGCATTTACTCATTCTTCAAGGCTCATGTTAACACTAGCTCGGTGATGATAGCTTTAATGCTGCTGTCTCATAAACCATGCCTCCCTCCCTGGAATACATGCTTCTTCTTGGAACTGATGAGGCTTCTCTCTATGCCTTAGATTGCATTTAGTTATCATGCTTGAGAATCCCAGCCCGCCTCTTCCTTCTATGGAATCCCCACAGGCAGAAAGTAGACTTGATTTATGTCTTTATGCAACCTTGTAAAACCTCCAATGCTGAGAATCTACAATATTTTTACATAATATTTACTAAATTGCTCTAGAATTTAGGAACCATATTTACAGTTCAATACCATTTTTTAAATTGCAATCTAGGTTCAGTGGTTAAGAGCACTTGCTGCTCTTGTACTGGACCCAAGTTTGGTTCCTAGCATCCATATAGTAGCTCAAAACCATCTGTAACTCCAGTTTCAGGGCATCCAATGCCCTCTTCTGGCCTGTAGGCATCAAACACACAGGTGTTGCACATTCATACATGTAGGCAAAACAGTCATACACATAAAACAAAACAAATATTTTAAAAACATGTAACTTCTATTAAAATTCTAATCAAAAAGACAGTGACAAATCAGTTAGAAGCCTCGGTTACATACTTACATTCACCATGAGGGAGAAATCAGTGACCAGATGGCTAAGTTCAATTAAGTCCTTTAAAAAGAGAAAGAGGGAGGAAATTACTTTTATATCTCTCAGTTACCAAAAAAAAAAAAAAAAAAATCCATTTAACATACCGCTTCTAAGTTATCCCAGGACTCAGCAGCATTTTGGTCTCGAGGAATTTCAGGCAAGGCATATATCTGAGTCAGACTCTGAGAAGTAGCTTCAGCCTCCGAAGTGTGGAGTGCTCCTGGATGGATACAGGCCCGGTTAGAACTTGCTTCTCAGAGAGGACAGAGCACAAACTGGCTCCAAAGACAACTGTTATACAGAATACTTAGAATTCCACAATTCTGCCCTTCAGGCTAAAAGTAAGTGAATCAGAATATAAAAACAGCATTATGTACCCTTGGGCAGCCTGTTCTCTAAGTGAGTTAATGGAAAGAAACCAAGCAAGACCTATACATGCTCTTCATGCAACTGAGTGGCAAGGGTTAGAGGTGGAGGAGGTAGCAATGGGAGCTACACCTAAGACACAGCAGCAGCACCAGTCTAAAATGTTCTGCTGCTAAATCCTCAGGCTTGGCCTTAGCTATTTTAGTAACAAGGATCAAATATAACAGAAGCAGGACAGTGGGGTCAGTGAGATGGCTCAGCAGGTAAAACACTTGAGTTCAATCCTGGGACCCACGCAGAGATGAAGGAGAGAACAGATACCACAAAGTTGGCCTTTGACCTACACACACACACACACACACACACACACATACACACAAACTCACACATTACACACACAATAATAAATAAATAAATAAATAAATAAATAAATAAATAAATAAATAAATAAACAAACAAACAAACATATCATTTGAAAGTAGGAAAGTAGGCTGGAGTTTATACGGAAGGGCACTTCAGTGTACTAGTAAAGAAGGAAAGTGATGTAGTTATGTGCTTGTAGCAATTAACATCAGTCTCTACTGGTGACAATCTCATCAGCAACGAGCACGTTTGCCATATGAATATTTTTGTACACGTAACTCTGCTTAGATTCATTCTTCCACATACTTCCATGGTTTCCCTACTTCTAGTTTTTAAAAACTTTCAACCCACCAAAAACTATTTATTAAACATTACTATAATAACAAAGCAATAAATACTACAAACATCTACCTTCAAGTCTTTCTGGGTCTTCATACTGGTTTTACCAATCTTTCATTCATGAAATTGACACTTGTTGCATGCCTATCAGAGACACAACAGTAGCTATAAACCCATCCTGAAGTGGCAACCCCACAGGGCTCAGTTCTGCGGCTCTGGTCAGGAAGACCACTGTGGTCAGGAAGACCACTGTGAGAATCCTGGCTTGCTGGCTTGCCGTTCCTGTTTGTAAAGTAAGTTGCTGTTTACTTTGCATAGAACGTGGCCCTGCTGCTGCCACTGCTCCTGTTGCTGACATGGACAGAGCTCCCATGGAACCTGTGGTAGAGAAATGTAGCAGTCATGTCAGTCAGTATTATCTGACAAGACTGTGCCACAGGTGAGTATGATGTACGTAAGTGTAAGCCCGACATCAAATCCTGACTTGTGGAGAGAGAGCAGTCAAGGGTTGAGGCTGAAGCCCGAGGATGAGAGAAAATAAGCCAGGTGGAGTGGGGTGAGGGTGCAGGGAGATGCCCGGAGTTTCTAACTCAAGGAGAGCAATGTGTGCAGAAGCTTGAAACTGAAAGACATTCAGTCTAGCTGATGTACAGACTGTAGTGAAGAGAAACGCAAAGGTTGAGGCTGACAGTCTAAGGTGAGATTACTTGCGGCCATCGGAAAGTTTTTCCAAGAGCTGTGTCTTTCTCACATGATCACATTCAAAGGAATTGGAGACTACTAGGAAGTTGGAAGGTGTCATAATCAGACCTTAGCCATAGTGTGAAGAACATGTTAAGGATAAAGTTGACAGGTGAGAGTGAAAACCCAGCTGGGAGGCTTTACTATCTATCCAGTGCAAACAAAATGATGATCTCCAGCAGCTCTGCCCTCTCCTTTAAACCCAAAAGGCCTGCAGTCCTACATTACCATCTTTTTAAATTACGCTTTATTTATTTACTGTGTGTGGACATGCATGTGTCTGTGCAATGATGCACACTGGAGGTCAGAGGACAAACTGATAGAGTAGGAGAAGGTTCTCTCCTATGTAGGTCTCAGAGATCAGACTCAGATCTTGGTGATAGGCACCTTTAACTGCTAAGCCATCTCACTGGTCCAACTTTAACATTATATGTCGTCATTAGCACAACGGATGAAAACATGAGTAATACATAGTACTACTCTCAAAGAACCTACATTCTAGAAGAATTAGACATACAAAGGGGTGATCATAAAAAAAGGGGGAGACTGCATTAGAGATAAGGAAACAGAATTTGTAGGGAGATCTAATCTAGCTTGATGTGGCAGGTAGTTCAGACTTTCTGGAAAAGTTGACATTACTCGGCAAAGAAGAGAGGAATATAAATGCCAGATGGAGAAAGCAGCATGAGCAAAGACCTCCAGAGAGAAGTAATATAGCTAAGGTACCATCAGCAGCTGGCATTATCAAGCATGAATGGAAAGACAGAGGTGCAGGTGTGAAGACACTGTAAGCGAGGAGGGGCCTTTCTCAACAGGTAAGAACTCTATGTGGCAGACAGCAGAAGGCTGCTGAAGCCTTACAAGCCTGTTAGGAAATGACATGATGACTTGTGACCTGACCTACTCCTGAGTCAGTCATTATGAAACTATATTAATTCCTATTTCCTTTCTGTTCTTTTTTTTTTTCAGCCAAGCCTAAAGACAAATGATACTTTATAAAACTGTGTGGTTAGTTATCTTCAAAGTTAATGAACACTTTATTTTTAAGATAAAAGCTTGTTTGACCTGACCAGGAAGGACGTAATCAGCTGAACAAAAAATGGCAATGCAGACATCAGAATTCATAGTGGCTATTTTTCAATTCTAAACTTGATTTATTTGAAAAATATACATTTCTGCTGAGATTCTAGGAGTGTCACATTGTCCATATAGACTCAGGTTTTTCTTAATATGCTTCTTAAAAGAATATTTTTATTTATTCTTTGTCAACAATATATCTTGATCATGCCCAACCCAAGGTCCCCTTCTACTCTGCCCGGAACCTCCAAAACTCCCCCTTCCCATCTTCCTGTCCTCTTTTTCTTTTCTTTTTTTTAAAAATATTAAGTCTAATTAGTGCCATCTGTATTGTCTATGTTTTTATCTTAAAGGAAAAAAATCAGACACAGAGTACATTTTATAACATTAGTAAAGAGTCAATCTTGAAAGCTTTCAATTATTTTTTTCAAATGCTTGAAATATTTTAATTTTCACTTCAGTCAAGATAAATGAATGAACTATGACTTCTTCACTTCACATTCCATGTAACTTCCTGATCCGCATCAGACAGAACAGAGGCAGAGCTCTAACTGTGTGTACTCTAAAGATCTTAAGTCATAGCCTATATACTATCAAAGAAAATGCAAGGAAAATAGGCAGGGTCTATAAAACAAGGTAAGATTATAATATAAACGCTTTATCTAAAAAAAATAGGGATGGGAATTATCTGACATTTTAAACATAAAAGATTTCGGTCAGTACAAAAAAGAAATGATTAGGTCATTTCCATCTCACTTGAAACCAAACTACGTATGTGTCTCAGTTACAACAAAGATGTCCTTTCTTTTCCATGTAAAACCTTGTTGTTGATTTACAACTCTGAACATCACAAATCAATTCAAGGCATGACTGTCAAGAAAGAACTCTTTTAATGTCTACAACCTCTGCAATTCACTCACTTCAACTTGTACCTTAGTGCACATCCTTTGACTATGAACTCTTAGAAACGTGTAAAGGGTGTGTGTGTGTGTGTATGTGTGTGTGTCTGTGTGTGTGTCTGTGTGTGTGTGTGTGTGGTGTATGTACATGAGTGTGTGGTGTGTGTATACGTGATGTGTGTGTGGTGTGTGTGTTTTCTAACCCTACAACTGGATATAAAGGTTTATAACTGGCTATACATTCAAATAAACCTAAGACGGTTAACTCCCCACAGCTGAAGTGATAAATAAGCTATATTTAATGTTAATAATGTTAATAACGATGTTCTGCCCTCTCTTTTCCTCTGTACCTTGTGAACTGCAAAGATTCTACCAGGAAGTACAGACTAATACATGAGAAATCTCCACTAACCTTCACAATATTAGTAGTGTTTCTCTACAAAACTAAATAAATTTAAAAAAATAATAAACTTTTCAAGTTTAAGGAATCAATGAAATTAATTTACTGATCATATTGAACATAAACCTATCTATCAAAATAAAATGACTTCTAAGTCACAACTTGATGCAGAAGAGGATTTTGAGAATAAAATCAACTGGATATGGATCTTCTGAATACTATCAGACAAAAACAGCTCTGTGCTCTGCAGAACCATTCAGTGCACACATACACCGAAGGTAAAAATCCAGTATTGCTTCAAATTCTATAGGCTGGTCTGAAGTTACCAGCAGCTTTAAGATTGAGATCTTTTCTTCTGAGAGTATTTGTTGAAAACAGACTAAGATTCCCTTCCTGCTGTGTTGCTGAAGGGGATGCCCTGGATGTGGGGATGGGGGAAGACAGACAGGAACTGCAGAGAGGCAACTTCACCCCAAATGGCATGGACCTCCATTCTGAATGCAAATCACATGGATGGGCCCATCATTTCTCTTGATAGGGAGCAATGAGAAGGAAATCAAAGTCACCCCACAAGGAGACACAAGGAGCTTCTCGTATCAAGCAGGGTTGGCCGAGTGAACTTTTGGAACTCAGAATCTGGACAAAAGATACAGCAACACTCACAGCTTCCCCCTAAACTCCCTTCATTTTCTAGAGAACATAAGATGCCCTATTCTACTCATTATTTCTATGTGTAAATAGAAACTATTTTTGTATTTTTGATTTCACTCACAGAAATGTGGCAAGATTGCTGCTGAATCTGTTTCCAACCAATGTATTTAGAATCCGATTTAGAAAGAAGAAAGAATTTTAAGACATTTAACTTCCACACAAACAGCATACATTTCTCTGTATAGGCTGTCATTACTATAACGGGTATGCAAAGCAAAAGTAAGGAGAAACTATAGTGCACAGATTAAAACACGCAGAGTGACAGAAGAGTCCATAGTCTGTAGGCAGCCACAGCACATGCCCAATCCTGTCCACCTCAGAAGCCTGTGAAAGTTTGTTGCTCGTGTTCTTCCCATTATCCTCCTTTGTTAGTAATGTTCTGCATACAAAGCAACTAAGTACAGGCTTACTCTGCAACCTCGGGTGCTGGTCAGACCTGCTTTCCATGGACAGTGGACTTGGGGTCAAGAGTAAGCAGTCAGAAACTGAACTCTCCACTCTGTGTTAGCTTTACCTTGGTTTGTGGCTTTACAAACTGTAACTAGAGTTTTCCTGCCTTGCCCACAGTCAGGACAAATCTCTGTCACCCGCGAGTCCCACAGCCGCTCAGACCCAACCAAGTTATCACAGAGACTTATATTGCTTACAAACTATATGGCCGTGGCAGGCTTCTTGCTAACTGTTCTTATAGCTTAAATTAATCCATTTCCATAAATCTATACTTTGCCACATGGCTCGGCTTACCGGCGTCTTCACATGCTGCTTATCATGGCGGTGGCTGGCAGTGTTTCCCTCTCTCAGCCTTCCACTTGCCAGAATTCTCCTCTCTCCTTATCCCACCTACTTCCTGCCTGGCCACTGGCCAATCAGTGTGTGTTTTATTTATTGACCAATCAGAGCAATTTAATATACAGACCATCCCACAGCAACAAACAGAATGACTGCCTTCATCATATCAGCACTGTGTTCTCCAGTGGCAAGCATTAGAAGTTTAGATTATCTGATAGTCCATGAATTGAGAGGTTTGAAAGAATCAATATAGTTTAAAATTAATTTCACATGCTGTTTCTTCCCCCTCATCCTGTCTCCATCCTAATTTTTTTATTTCGTTAATATATACACTTCCTCTGATTCTGCCAAGTCTCAGGTTTCACACTAGCCTTATGTTTATAATGAAGGGTAATTGGCATGAAATGGGTAACCAGGTAACTCCCCAGTGACATATACTCAATCATGTTGGCCATAAATAGTTCTGCTTGGATAAATGCATACAATGTAATGTCAAAATGCAAATTAAAGCAATTATTAATACTGGATGAATTCAAGTATTTTGCTTCAGATAAAAACACTAGTGATGGGCCACTTGAAGTTAAAGAGGAGGAGATTGACACCAGCTACTCTTTCCAGAAAATCTTATTATATTCACTGTTATTACTGCCATCATTGCCAAATGTCTAGGTATAGAAGGCAGTCCATTAACACATGGAAGTAGAAAGCCCAGTCTCTACCTACGCACAAAAGGCATCAGCTCATACTCGGTGATAGGAGCAGCCTTCCTCTGCACCAATATGGTGGTGATAACCATAGAACTGTGCAAACAGTAACAACAAACTATCATGTATAGTAACAACAAACTATCAAAAAGCACAACCCCCAGTTCTTTAAGAGCTGAGCACTAACATTTTAGCACTGGCTATGCAGAGAAGTGACTAGAGTACTTTTTTTGTTTGTTTATTTGGTTGGTTTAGTCTTATAAGAAAAGGCTCGCTTTTGTACCCAGGATGGCCTTGAACTCCCAATTGCTCACCCTAGTCCAACTTCCTAAGTGCTGGGATTACAGGTATGCAGCATGTCTGAAATGACAAAATTGTCCCTAATATATATTTGCTTATTTGTTTTTTATTTATAATACATCTATGAACAGTTCAATATGTGTAAATCACTCTGTAATGTTACCCAGAAACTCCGCTGGGCAGCCTAAATGTTTCTGCATTCCCTTGCAAAGTACTGAATCACTAGCAGTGAACATGTATACATTTTAAATAATCTAAATTTAGAGGTAAGGGTGAAAACAAGAGTGCCCTGGTAGATAATAAAGGAAATCTGGCTAGGTACAGTATCCCTAAGTTTCCATTTTAATTTCTAATTGATTTGTAGCCCATATTTTTCATAAGGAATAAAAGTCTCTTAAGAGATATAAAATGTAAGGAAATGGAATAAATTAAAAGTAAAAGATAAACAATTACAACAGAAAAAGAAACAAGGTCAGCAGTTATAAAATAAAGCCAACATACTTTACAAGTTTAGTTTTTAAGGAGTAAAAAATTTGACTTTAAGCTTTCTAGGAGATAACTCAATTATAGAAATCTTATTAGTTATTCTACTCACTACTTATAAGATTTAAATCTAAGCCAAACTATCCAACAAAACAAAAAACAGCTACTTTGAAGTATTAAGATGTATTAAGATAATTTTTTCTGCATAAAAGATACTAGCACAGTGTCACCTAGGATTATGAAATACATCCTTAGAAATGACATAACACTGTGTTCATAAGGCTGTTTCTTAGAATATTACTTCACAAAAGTTGACACCATGATCCCGCAATAAATTTTTCATTTGTTAGTTAAATTCGGAGAATGGAGAGTGGAGAGAGACCTAACAAGTGTGTGAAGCCACAGTCTAATAAGAACAGCTCCCAAACATGTTGTAAAATAGTGAAAGATGTGTTATATTTGTTTATGCTGTGGAATATTTGTTTAATGATGCAAAGATGTGTTGCATTCTTTAGGCTGCATTTGTTTAACTCTGTGAAGCTGTTGTTACTTGACTGTTTAATACACATGATGGTCTGGTAAAGAGCTGAATGGCCAATAGCTAGACTAGATAAAGGACAGGCAGGGCTGCCAAGCAGAGAGAATAAACAGAAGAGTGAGGAGTGAGAGAAGGAGGAGAGGCAGATGCGAGGGGCCAGCTACCCAGTCATACAGCCTGACACAGAATAAGAAGGAAAGAAAAGATATACAGAAATAGAGAAAGGTAAAAGCCCAAAGGCAAAAGGTAGACAGTATAATTTAAGTTAGAAAAGCTGATGAGAAATAAGCCAAGCAAAGACAGGGCATTTATAAGTAAGAATAAGACTCCATGTATTTATTTAGGAGCTGGGTGGCAGGTCCTCTAAAGAGCAAAGAGTTAAAACAACCAACTACACAAACAGCTTGCCCCTGCCCTGGAGAGGAGAGAGGTGCACATTACATACAAGGACAATATTATCTTTAATAGTAACTTTAACTTTTCTTTTCAATATATGGGCAAGCAGGTACTTGAAGCCCCCAAGTTCCAATCCACACAATTTTATCTTGCAAAATTTCCAGGGTACACATATCTGGTCTGTTTGGGATTGGCCAGCAGACTCATGGGGACATACAAGGCCTCTTTTTGTTCTACCTGAGAATAGGGGCTTTAGCTATCAGCACCGCTAGTATCAAGAATAAGACATGTGTTACCACCAACGGTTGTGGATCTGGTGAGAGAAGACTGTGATAAGGCTTCTTCCTCATTAAACTGTTTCTTGAGCTCTTCAACAGACTCCAGATGGAGCTGGAGAAACTCTGCTGTGGCCGCCGCTGCTGCTTCCTTCACAGGATCAATCATCCTCTTCAGAAGAACCAGGTCATCCTTGTGGACTTTCAAGCAAAGCTTTTCCATTTCTCGGATATTAGAACGGAGTTGCTATAAATGAAGAAAAAAAGAAACATTACCAGTGCCATCTCTCCATATAAGACCTATTTCTTCTCAGAATAATTTGCTATAATGATTATGAATGCAAATTAGTGCATATTGTCTACCACGGGGCATACAATTTATCAGTTTCCCACATCTCTTGGCTGGCCAAATCCAACATATTTAGAATCCATGCCCTCAAACTTTGACTTTATATAGTGATTTTTCCTTTATTGAATGTGACTACCATACTGTAAATGCGGTACAACTAGCATTTAGCTTATGGGGCACACGTGGAACTAAAATATTCTAAGGACCCACATGTCTATATGGCTAAGTCACAGATACATTCTATAATTTCTAATAAAAGTAAACAATTCCAAAATGAGTAAGGTAAAAATGGAAATGAAAAAAGAACCAACAGAGCATAAGATAAAAGCATGTAATAGGGGCTAAAAAGATGGCTCAGCAGTTAAGAGCACTGGCTGCTGCTTCTAGAGGACCCAGGTTCAGTTCCCAGCACCCACATGGCAGCTCACAACCAACTAAAACTCCAGTTCCAGAGGATCTGATGGCTTCTGGCTTCCATGGGCACTGCACACATGTGGTATACAGACATACACTCTATGCATAAAATAAAAATTAAAATTAAAAAAGAAAGCAATAATAGAACAAATGATAAAATCAATAATTATATTAAATATAAATTAAACAAATATTCATTATGACTAAAGTTTATTTTAGGACTGGATAAACACACAAAAGAGATACATCTAAACATAAATATAAAATGGTTCAAACTAAAAGAATAAAAAAAAGCCACATAAATCTACCATCTTCTCCTAAGAATGACTACAGCAACATTATTATCAGATAAACACACTTTAAAGCCAACACATTACCAGAAATTGAGAATCATTTTATAATAAGATTCTCTTCAGAAATATATAACAACACAGACAGAATATATATCATACAAACGCTGACAACTACCAATTGTTTTCTTTCTATATGTGTATGTGTGAGTTCATGTTTGGATGTGGGGAGGGGGCATGTGGTAATGCACATGCATGTGGGGGCACAAACTTGATATCAAGGGTCTCCCTTGGTCGTTCTTCACTTTATTTTCTGAGGCAGGGTCTCCGAATGAACCTGTAGTGCACTAATTCCAGCTAGTCTAGCCAGACGGCTTGTTCTAGGCATTCTCCATCTCTGCGTTCCAAGCACTCTGGGGACAGGTGGCTACCATGCCTGCCTGTCTTTGGTCCTTATGCTTAGGTGGCAAATGTTTTATCCACTGAGCCATCTCCCTAGCGCAAAAATTTTAAATAAATCCACAGTCATAAAGAAAGGCCTTTAAAGCCTCAGTAATTAATAAAAGAAACGGCAAGGGTATGTTAGGTATAGAGTGTCTGAACAAGAAATTTACACAGCTTGATGTAAGTTACTTAGAACATTAACCCAACATACAAAATATATACATAAAAAACAATGTTAAAGCAACTTTCACAAATTTGAAAAACATTAACATTATACACAGCATGCACTCTGAGCATAATAAAGTTAAATTTGAAATCATTAACAAAAACATCTCTATTGTACATCTAGAAGGAAGAAAGATACTTCTAAATAGTCTGTATGTAAAGAAAGAAATCACAATGGAAATTAAAATACTATTGCTTGAATGCAAAGAAAAGTAATACATATTAAAATTTATAGTGCTTCGTAAAACAACTACATATATATTAGCATAGGGCTAGGCTGTCTCTAGGGGCTGCCATGATATTCATCTGGGTAGGCCCTTGTGTTGTTTGATTAAGAATGAACCCCATAAGCATATATATATATATATATATATATATATATATATATATATATATATATATATGCTTAGTCATCAGGGGGGTGGTACTACTTGAGAAGGATTAGGAGGTGTGGCCTAGTTGGAAGAAGTGTGTCATTTGGGGTTGGCTTTAAGGTTTCAGAAACCCCAGCAAGGTGCTCTCTCTCTTTTAGGATGTAGAAATCTCAACCTCTCCATCATCATGTCTGCCTGAGTGCCACCATGCTCCCCACCAAGATGACAATGGACTGATCCCTAATTAAATGCTTTCTCTTATAAAAGTTGCCTTGGTCATGGTGTTTCTTCAGAGCAATAGAACACTGACTAAGACAGCTTCCTTCCTTTTTCTTCTCTTCTGTCTTTTCCTTTCAGATGCTTGACAGAGCCAACATATGCTTTTAAATTCCCTGACAATTTGGGTTCCCTCATCGATGAGCGACCATCCTCTGACCCTCAGGCTGGCTTTTTTCTCTCCTCTAGGCCTCCCCTCCATGCAGCTGACATACACAACTTTCTCTGGGCTTTTCTTTTATTTGAAAAACAAGAAAAGAATGGCTAGAAATTAGCAAGCTAAATATCCATCTCAAGAACCTACAAGAAGATACAAAAACAAGGGCAAATATAAAAAGGAGAAAATTACAAAGATGAGAAGAAACTTAATGAGACAATGAAACAGGTACACAACAGACTAACAAAGCCAAAACTATTTTTGGAAAGAGTAAATAAACTGATCAGCTTCACAAAAGTAGTTTTAAAAACAGACACAAATAACCTAAATCATAAACAAGGAGGCATCACTACAAATCTTAAAGAATTAAAAAGATAATAAGAAATTATGAATAAGCCAGACAGAGTGGTGCACACCTTTAATCCTAGCACTAAGGAGGCAGAGGCAGATGGATATCTAAATTCAAGACCAGCCTGGCCTACAGAGGGAGTTCCAGGACAGCCAGGGCTACACAGAGAAACCTTGTCTTGAAAAACAAACAAAAACCAAACCAAAACAAAAGAAATTATGAATAAATTTATACCAATAAGTTAGAAAAGTGAGATAAAATGGACAAATTTCTACAAAACTCTAATTTATCAAACTGATGAAAAATCAAAACCTAAATGGTCATATAAACATTAATTTTGTTTTTCTTGTTTTCTGAGATAGGGTCTCATCTAGCCCAGGATAGACTCAATTTTGCTATGGAGCCAAGGCTGGCCTCAAGCTCCTGACCCTCCTGCTTCTGCCTCCTGAATGCAGAGAGCGTAAGCTCTGGTCACCATACCTAGTTACGATTAAACAAATTAAATGTGTATTTTTTTAAATTCTCCTGCCTCTCCTTTCCCCATGTTAAACAACAGTCAACCAAACTGTTTTTAAACAACAAAGCAAAATCAGCAGAAATTGTGTCACTAGTCAGTTTTACCAAATATTTATAAGAAATTATATGAATTCCTCATGGGAATAGTCAAAGATTAGGCCTTGATACCAAAAGTCAACAAGGAAAAGAAACTCTCCACAGCAAACTCATGCAGTCTCACAAACAAGGTACAGAAATCCGAGGGAAATGCAGGAATTCAGCACAGCAACAGTAGTAAGTGAGCAGGCCCACTTCAAAAGATGGACTAGAAGATGCTGTTGTAGGCAACATCAGTAAACAGCAAGGCAGTCTCAAAGACCACTCTGCTCAGTTCAGTCTCTATGATGTTCTGAAACAGGTTGAGTCAAACTGTTGTCTCAAGGGGTCATTTGGTGGCAGATTTCAACAGAGAAGATAGGAAATATTGGCCACAAAAGTCAGGATGGTGATGCCTCTGGTGAAAGGTGATGGTAATCGAGACAAGGCCACAGGACCTTCTAGAATGCTTGCAGCTTGTCCATTTTGGTGCACGAGTACCTAAGTATAATTATTTAGGAGTACATTTACAGTGTAAGTATTCTATAGTACATTTAATATAGTTCAGAGTTGAATGCTTTTAGAAAAGAAATTTACATTGATCTAAGTGATAACCAACCTAAGGATAGATATGGTTGAAAACACCTGTGTAGGGATAAGATGTAGTGGAGGTCTAACTATGGAGGTAGGTTGAGTTATTAGCCTATGAATCTTTTTTCTTTCATGGGGTGAAAGAAGACTACTTTGGGATGAAAGAGACTACTTTGGAATGAATTCCAACCTACCAACATAAAACCATGCTGTAGGAATAAGCCCTGAGAGGCACACATCAGCATGGAGTGACTGATAGATGACAAGAGGAATACTGCAGTTTGTGAGTCCTGGGTTTTTGTTTTGTTTTGTTGTTTTTTTTTTGTTTGTTTTTTTCAAATTTTATCAGCTTTGAAGAAAAAGGCTGTATGATGCCACAGCATAAATTACTATGATAAGGTTTGGGGGGGGGGTCACCTTCTAAAAAGTGAACTTATGACACTATAAAAGCAAATAAATCCCAAGTGATAAAAGAAAGTAACATCTAAGGAATGAGGTATGACTGCAGGGTACGGTATAGGAAATTCAGAATCTTAAGACACCAAAAGGCAGGAGTGTGGGGGGGGATAGTGGAGTGAACCCAAGAGTGGTGTGAAACAAGGAGAATCATGCAAGTCAGCGCCCAGAATGAGCGGAGGCTGGTGAAAACGTTAAGAACAATAAGAGGCTATAAAAATACACGTACAACAAGAACAAGAGAGAAGGCTCAGGCCCACTGCTTGGGGCAGATGGTGTAATGCTAACAGATGATGCAGAGAGCAGAACCACTTAGCTCCTGTTTTGCTTTTGATTCTGTATTAAGGAAAATTTCAAAATTGTAAGGGACTAAGAAACATGCCCAAAGGAAATTTGTGTCACTACAGAGATCTGGATAGGCGTCACAAAGCAGTAGCTTGGTGTTGTCTCTGAAAAACAGTCTCAGGGACATATTAAACACAAAGCCCTCTTGGTCTGCACTTCATCTGCAGCAGGACACCCTATCGTTTCCATATTTCACAGCACTGAGCTGAACTAGCTTACACACCGGGCAAAAGCACTGGACCAAGTGAAGTAGCAGCATCTGTCCTTCCTGGAGGGAGACAGCATGATGCCTTAGATGTCGTCCACCCCATCCTACCCTATGCCAATTAGGACACAGGTCAAAGATCCAGAGTCCAGATTAATCTCATAAATATTTTAAAGCAAAA